GTGGTCTCATTACATACAGTGTTAGCATACACGATTCACTAAGGGCCTACATTTATATATATACACTTTTTGGAGTTAATGAAAAAAGATAACTAAGAGAACAGGAAAATAGTTAATGGTATTGCAGTAGTGATTGGAGTGTCTGGAATAGTGACCTGGATGGATGATTTGGACTGGATTGATGTGAGAGTCGTGGTCAAAGAAGAACCTAGGGTCAGGGAACTGGGAGAATGGAAATGCCTTAATGCCTCTAATAATGGTACAGATTCTTCATTATTATTCCATGGTAAGCCTTGAATATGTTGGGGAGAGAATTAGACCCTCAGGGCCCCTTGAGGGGTAACAGATAACAACTAAACAGGAGAATACTGTGCTCATGGCTCCCCAAGCCATTCATGACTAGCATAAAGTCAGCCTTTCATCCTTTCAGCACTGCTCTCACACCTTAGAAAATGGATAGTAGAAGGAGTTGGAGAACAGAAGGAAACAAAAAGGGGAAGGAGAAAAGACTGTGCAAAACTGAGTCAATGGCTGAGGCCCAAGGCAGGGGTGATGGCCAGAATTGGGTCCCAATCTCAGTCTCCTAGGCCTTCCATGGCAACAACGTGCATGGGATTGGGAGGAAAATGGAGAAACTACATTCTGAGAAAATGAATGCTAAAGAGGGGAATTTTAAAGTATTATTACCCCCCCCCCCCTCTAACCTTTAGCGTTTATAGAAACTTAATGCTGTTGATGTATGGTTGTCAACTTCCTACAAACCTAACTGTTCCCTAACCTCTGGCCCTTGCCCAAACTTGGTAAAAATCCTTGACCTGGTGTCGTTTTCACCAACTATACCTCAAAATATCAAAACACTCACAACTTCAATTTAGTGCCTCTTGACCCCACATCCAGAGATGTGACCCAAACCATGGGGAAAGGATAAGATGCATGAAGCCTAAAGTCTAGTGATTCAAGTAACCACTATATTAACCCATCAGCGACGGGTAAAAATTTTGTCAAGTTTACGTATGCACCGGCAGTTTACCCTGTTTGCGCCCGGCTTGATCGGTAGTTTGCGAGCGACATATAGCACCTAAAAGCTTTTATTTTGCTAAAATTTATAAAAAAAATATTAAAATTTTGAAGGTTTACCTTCACTTAAGGTGCCATTGCCTAAAATCTTTACCATATAAATGAAGCCGCTACTACTGGAGAAAAACAACCTCCGTCCGACGAGCCAGTAGCGCGAGAATGGGCATGGCATGATGCCCCCGGCGTTTGGTCCACAACAGCCATGGCATGTACGTACATGACACCCGGCGCCAATGGGTTAAGTTAACATTTTCCAAAATGGGTGTATATCATTACTTGAAAGTGTAAAAAATATATTTTTTGTTATCCATTTTTTAGCTTTATAATTATATATATATATTTTTAAATTATCATTTATATTACCGATTTAAAAATTGTATTTATCTGATTTTAAATAATCTTCTGGAAAAGGATGTACGTCATATTACATGCATCTTACAGCATGCATAAACAAGCCTAGCTTAAGTCATATCAAGTCACTAGCTAGACAGGAAAGGGATAGTATAAATCTACAAAATGTTGTATTGCTAGGCTTCAAACCTTATGAGCAGTAACCAGCTGCTTAGGAGGTAGTCGTGTGCATAGTACTATTTGCAATGCTGTTTCTGCATTTGTTTTTGTTGCTATAATCATAGTCACATTTTTCAACACTACCCATTCAATTTCTGTAATGCTGTTAAACTGACAGGAAAGGCAGGGGGGGGTGTCAACTGCCCCTCCTGTTGATGAAAACGAGGGGCACCAAGATGAATATCCACATGCATAAGGGGTACTTGAGTTATTTGTTAGTGAATAAAGAAAATTTTTCAGAGAAGAAATCAACAATACTAATTTCACAAAAATACAATTTCAATTAAACGCAGTATATTGACTAACCCCATGCTGCCGGGGATGGCTTGTGTATATATGCTATACCCACTGTATGTTTGAATTAGTAATTGTTTTTACACATTAAGCTCAAAAATTAAATCCTGCACATGCCCAGAACGAGCTAGTTAATTCCACAGATCATGTATCAACTCCATAGAAAATATGGAGTTGAGTTTCCATTAATGTGTATTATAGACAATAATATAACAAAGTCTGACATTTTCATGTTAAAGATGTATATAAAAATTCATTAACACATATTAGAAGTTATGGGATACTCAAACAGCAGTTACAATTCTCAACAGTGAAAATAAAAGTGAAAAGAAAATCCTACAGGGAATACCAGAATTTACAGGTACAAAAAGGCAGTGTTATATCCAGGTTAGAAAAACTCCCAACTTTTGTATATAACAATGGACTTAAAAAGAAAACTTTTAATAACATCACGATTAGATCTCAAATTCAAAGTACAAACTTCCTGGATCTTTGTATTACAAGGACTTTAAAACTGCGTGGAAATTTGTTATCAGGTTCCTCGATAGTAACATCCTGAAAAACTATCCTAACCCATGCCTCGTGATTACTCATGCAAAAGAGCTCTCGGAGAAACCTCTCCTGCAAATATAAACTGATGTTGTGATTATCTTTAGTTTGACACCTTTAATTCAGCTGTCTATAGAATTCACGGCGTATTTGGAGCCATTTATATATTTTTATTTGTAGTTGGACAAAAACATATCTTCACGTTATAATAGTACATGTATATATATTTTTTTCTCAGTAGCAAACATCTTGTTATCAACACTAGTGTGTGCTATGAAACTCAAAGAGGATGACTGTGAGATGTCACTTCTCAAACACCTGCTCATCTATGTAAAGGAGCAGATTTACTGATAATTGCATTGACCCGTGCATCAAGCACTGTGAATTTGGATTAAACTTTAATCTAGATTTAACTTATATAATGCATACAGAAGATGCCCCATGTTAAAGTGTAGGGCACTAAAAGTTAGCGCCTATCACGATTAAATGATTTCATAAATAGCAACCTTTATAATATTAAGTGTTTTTCATGCATGTAAAGATTATCATTTCTTTTAATGCAATCTTATCAACAGCATGCCACTGCCGTTTATTATGACAGACATATTTTAAATGAGCTTTTCTGTATACTGATCAGTCATTTATTTCCTTACGTGGGTTCAAAAAGTATATGAAAGAAGAATAGAGAGAAAAAAAAAATCCTTTTATATATAGTGTATGGAGGGGACAACTGTTTAAATGTACAAAAGTAAGAATTACTTGTATAATATATACAGTGACTAATTATAACCATGAATATTTAAAGCCCTACAGAATTGGATTAAGTGCCAAGTTCACCTACACACCAAACCTGCCACCACAATTCTGCAGTGAGTATGAAGTGTTAAACTGCAGTTTTATTACACCACTTAAGGTCTTAAAATTATAATTCCAGCAACCTGATTATGATAGAGAATTAATATTTTCATTGTTCCTAACAATACCAAATGAATAATAAATCATAAAAAAAAGACAATAAATGAAAGTTCATTTACAGAGGTATGCTACAAGAAACCAAGAATGATGCGGTGGTGCAGGCGAGGTTCTTTAATGATCCTGCTGGGACTTTTGGTGGCAGGACTGGTGCTGATATGGGGTAAACCATTCTGGCCTATTTATGCACCCAGGGGCACTACCACAAACCAACCAAATATTACTCTTTTCTTTGCCAAGTAAGTAACATAAAAAAAAATTTATTATAAAAAAAAGTTATATAAATACATTGAAAATAAACAAAAAATTAGTAGAAACAACTAGAAAAGGGTCATCCTTTCACAGAAAATCATAGCTCTTTCTAGGAGAGGAAAGCAAAGGCATCACAGATTTACAAAAACTATTTTACATTTTAAGAAATTGAATTGCATATTGGGAATCATTGTTCAGCAAGATTCCAAACCATACACATATGATAGTGAGGGAAAAGCCTAGTAGTTCTGATTGAGGCCTTTCTTTTCTGCAGCATAGTAGAGAGTTATATAACTATGAGCTGGTGTTTAAAACACTTTTTATCCCAAAAAATAAAACCTAGACTTAAGAATATTGAATATTTCATTTAATATCTGAAATATTTAACCGACTACCAGCAATGATGGATCAAATTGATTAGCATTTTGCATGCCAGATTTCTGTAATATAATTACTGCTTCCTTATTCATAAATAATGCTTGCAAATAATCTGCAGTATTCATCAGTTGCGGGTTGAGCCTGCTGAAGTACTGAAAACCTGCCAGAACAAGAAAGTTGATGTGTTGGTGATTGTACCAACCTCAGCAGCAAACCATGAAGCTCGAGAAGCTGTTCGAAAAAGCTGGAATGGTAATTTCCCAGCAAACTGGCCTGTCATGTTTTATCTTGGAGCAACTAATAATCCTCGGTTACAGGTATATAGCATTTTGGATGGCTAGTAATGTGGAGATATTTCAAGTAAATAAAAACATCAGTTTTGTATATAACATAATGCTTTTCATAGTGGAAAAGTCTCCAGTCATTTGTATTATTATTATTATAAAAAAAAGGGGGTGGCTATAGGCAATGCTATTTTGTTTTATTAAATTCTTCCAATACCAAGCAAATACATATTTAGAAATGCATTTCAATTTTCTTTTTACTCTTTCCTCAAAATTCAATGCATTACTAAAATTCACATCACAATTCATCAGACTATGATCTTTAGCAATCTAAATAATAAGGCAGAAAAATGAATAGTATAACTGCTGGAGCCAAACTAGTGCATACAATTGATTTCTCTCTTCTCTCTTCTCAGAACGAGATCACTGAAGAAGGACGACAATATGGCGATATTACCCAAGACGACAGCTTTTTGGATTCTTATAATAATCTGACTCTGAAGTCACTAAGCCTTGTCAGCTGGGCTCATAAATTCTGCAAAAATGCTAACTATGTGCTTAAAATAGATGATGATGTATTCCTTAATACCAAGAAATTTCATGATCTTATAATCTGTATAACCAGTGCCAGGAATGACATTTATATGAAACTGTTCCAGAAAAATACAGTAACCCTTGGTGAGGGGGGGGATCTACTGGATAAACTTGAAGAAGAAAGTATGCAGCCAACTTATTCAAGTGAATATTCTGTATGTGAGTCATTTAATCCATATGGACTTATTAACTACTATGTGAATGCTAAGAGCCATGATTATGAGTCTTACATATTTGGGGGTTACTTGTACAAAGGTGTACAGGCTGACAGGAACCCAAGTTCAAAGTGGTATCTGGACAGAAGTGTTTATAGGTATGACAGGCTCCCTCCATTCTTATCAGGCACCGCTTATATTATGTCGTCAAATATAATTCCTCACCTCTTACGAGAGGCCAAGCAACATCCTGTCATTGCCCTTGAAGATGTATATATGTCAGGCATTATTGGCAGTCAAGGCCTAAAGTTGAAACTGAGCCATCTTGATGGCTGGAGCAGGTTTCGTCCTCAATGGGATAGTGTATGCACTTATAATGAACTCTTAACAGCACATGGGCTCTCACCTGCTGAGCTTTCCTCCATGTCACTTGCTGTTGCTTCTTTAGACAATGGTACATGTGATGGAATCCTGACAAACATTCTGAACAATATTAATTTTCTGATATCTTACTTGTTTCCTAGGGTGTCTAAGTAAGTACACCCAATTAAAGGATTGAAAACAATTTCATTTGCCATTTAAGGATAAACTGTTAAACTTATAAAAAATGCATTCATATAACCTTCCATTGAAACGAAAAGAGGGGAAAAAAAAAAACTATAGAATAAAGTGTTAAAACATATTTCCCTCTTAGGAATGTAATTATATATATATATATATATATATATATATATATATATATATATATATATATATATATATATATATATATATATATATATATATAAAATAATGATAGTATTTTGCAATCAAGTTATTCAACTAAACTTTCTGCCTTATTTATTTTTACTTGTACAATAGCTGTAAGAAATACTATGTATTGTTAGTGGATAAAAGGAAATTTTAGCATACCAAGAGGCATGTCAACTTGACAGTATTTACAGTATAAAGCCAACATGTATTCTATCACATTTTATTATTCTTGGTTATATCATTCTAATTAAATGGCAACACTTTAATATTAAGGTACTTATGAACAGAATGTTGTATATGGATCACTGCTATAACAGTTTATTTTTAATTCCAAGATTGTTTTACTTTTCTTTTTTGTGCAAGTACTGTCAATATACATTCTCTTTAAAGTTATCATTCCATTAGTAGGAATAAAATTTGTAAAAAATATGTATTTGTAAATAACACGTTGCAAAAGCTCCATCCAGTTTTAGGAAATAAAATATAGGCAGCTCACCCTGGAGTTTGGAAAACTCTGATTTGCCAATTCTCTCTTGAGAATATGAAGTGGTGTAAAAGGAAGCAAATTTTGATATAATGCAATAAAAAATGTATAAAAGATTAAGGAAGAAAAGTAAATGTTACCTAATTGGCATAAAAAAGGAGAGTTGAACAGGATTACTCGAGGCCAGGGTGAGTTGCCATTTTCTTTCTTTTCTTTTCTTAGACTGGAAACACTAATGTAACCCCCATTTCTCTCCCCATCATCAGTGTCATAATGATAGCTCAGGTTCTTATTTGCAAATGCCCTTATTATATTTATAGTTGAACTATTTATTGTTTCATAATTACACTGGATAGTGATCCTTAGTTTCTTGATTCTACCATATTGTCAATGGAAATCAATACAACTGTAGCTAGTCATATTGTAGTAATAAATAATGATATTATCACCATGCTCAGCACTGATCACCAAAATGGTCTAGACACTGTAATAAAATCCTGTGATTTTGGCTGTGATTTACAGTGGAAATCTCATTAATCTTAGCTTGTATATCTTTTTAAATCTTGACTAAACAATTGTTGAAATATGAATGTAATTGTATAACTAACAAATCATGCTACTCAAACTGTATGGTGTGGTAAAATAGCATTTGATTTTATTTTCTATGTGGGAGGAACTGATAACTTTTCTGTCTTATTATTCATTTACCCACCCAGAAAATAACTGAATGCTTGTAGTAATATTAATGTATATTGCAAAGCTTTAATGGATATTCTGCTATTTGTTACCCTCTCTTTAAACTAAGATATTTCTTGGAAATTTACTCAAGACTGACATCCTGCAGTTTGCAAATAAGCCGTGGTTTATATTGTGCACTCTGAGTAGCACTGAATTACAGAACATCAGAATAATTTTTGACTAAATACAGGGTGACATCAAGATTATATATATAAAAAAATTAACTACTGAGTATTTTTTCCCCTTAAAGCAATTGTTACTTGTGAATTGGTGGTACTGGAAGACTGTGATTATTGTTAATGTTATTATTATTATCATTATCATTATTTGAAGCCTATAACAACAGAAATTTTCTTTGGTAAAGTCAAGCGAAGGAGTGTATTCATTAGTGTATGCAATTTCCTGCTTTGGTAACTGGTAGTTTGTGGTAGTGTCTGCAAGAGCTAACCTCAGGAGTTGCGAAATGTAGTCGCCTCATGGCATAGGACGTCACCTGTTGTCCATGATTATATGCTCGATATGGTATCATGTCACCTGGCAACTTTGATGTTGAATACTTCATTAACTGAAAAGGGGCTTGCTTCTGGCCCTAACATTATATATAGCCATATATTTAAATTTGTATATATAATAATGTGTATGCAAGTATGTATGTATGTATAGGCTTGTAAACCTATCTGTATGGAGTTTATCCATGATTATATAGCTTTTGATTTGCAAGAAAAAGAAAGTTCAATATTTATTTCTATATCTAATTGATCCAGTTTTAGTTACTGAGTGTGCAGCTTGTGATAATAATGACAATATAGGAAAAGAAAACCTCTCAGTGCAGTATTGTGTAGTTAATAGAGCTTGAACTTTTTGGATCGACCACAATTTTCTTCACAAAACAAAGCCACTTCCATGTCTTTTTAAATAATTATTTTTGACTAAATAAGCCAAAAGGAAAGTCTCATATTTCTGAAAATTGCATTTTTTTCAGCACACTACACAAACTGGATTGGTGGAAATCTCTAATACTATGTTTTCAACACTCCTAAAACATCCCTAATCACCTTAAAAAAAAAAAAAAAAAAAAAATGAATATCTACTTACTCCAACAATAATTTTGATACATTAGACACTAATTGTTTAGCTTTAGCAACAGTGAAAGCCTCAAACTAGATCAATGGCAGTGCTGTATTACAAGGGAAACAAAGCTGAAACGCACAAGCTAAGGCAAAGTGTCTACTTATCGAAATTAAAATCTGGGTCCTTTAAGGGACTTGCAGTGTACATTGCACAATAAAATGCCAAAATAAAATGAATTCTAGAATATTATTAAAAACTCATAATGTAAAAAATAGTTGTCATGACATTTATTTGGTGATATACATTTCTATATATATATATCTTTCACTTTCTGTTCTCATATTTGCTACTGAGATCTCCCTATGGTTTCATTTACATTTCGACCTGAAGTTCAAAGTTTCTTAATTTAGGTCTATTTAAATAACTTATGTCTTCTAGTACCATTTACACCTGATAATTCAACTTTTATTCTCATGTTACCTCTGACCTTATTTGGCATTACCCACTGAATATTTGATAACACAAATATGACCTCTTGATTTGGGAACAATAAAAGGTAGTTGTTAGTCCATGAATGATGAAGTGATATATATATATATATATATATATATAATATATATAAATATATATATATATATATATAAATATATACATAAATATAAATATATATATATATATATATATATATATATATATATATATATATATATATATATATATATATATATATATATATATATATATATATATATATAAATATATATATATATATATATATATATATATATATATATATATATATATATATATATATATATATATATATATATATATATATATATATATATATATATATATATATATATATATATATATAATATATATATATATATATATATATATATATATATATATATATATATATATATATATATATATATATATATATATATATATATATATAATATATATATATATATACCTAGTCACCAGGGAGTGAATTACTAAGCCTGCCTATCTACCCTGTGTACCCTTTTACTTGACTTTCCAAAATATTCATTTTGTATTTTATATTGCAATTAGTATTGTTAATAATACAGTTATATAATGATAATGTGCAAAACGACTATAATAATATTGATATTACTAACATTAACTCCCCCACCCCCACCCCCCACCCCCACCCCAAAAGCTCATGGGAAGGGGAAGTCCAGTGGGTCACGTACACTACTAATCGACTCCTTTGAAGGATTTGGCACACTGCTAAGACTTACAAAAATGACATTGTAGGGATTGATAAACTTTGATGAAGGAATCTAAACTCTTCACTTCTTCATATACAGTCACTACAAAATCACTTGTTTTTTTTTTTGGCCCAAATAAGAGGAACTTTTTATCTCAAGACACAGATTAGTAATGTTTTAATTTGCAATATGGTAAGACGATATAATGAGCATCCACTTGAAATACTAATATCTACATGCCTCATAACTGTTCTTTGAAAATGGACTCCCACCTTGTCCTTGTGAGTGAGGGTGTTTGAGATATAAAATCGATCTAAGAATAGAAATACCTTGACATTTACTATTCCAGCCCATGCGTCTGTGTCTGTAAGTCCTTATAAAATGGTGACGTAAAGTACTTCACCTTGGCACTCATAATGTAATTCATCATATTCATTAACCCAACTGGCACATTTGGCAAGAATACTTGCCATGCCTACAATTATATAAGTCTAATTACTGTCTTTACACATAGATGACTCTACAAGTATTTAGTCACCCAGGAGTCAGTTATTAGTACTACCTATCTCACCTGTTTACCATTTT